AGTATTACTATCTTTTAGTGGTGATATTTAATGAAGCATAGTATTATATAATGCTGTAGTGGTTTCATTAGATGAATGTTGTGACTGGCGCCTATTTTACTAAACGTTTGGTAATTACTACCGACTATTTTTTTCAGTGTTGATAAGCAGAAAATCTAAATATCTTTGGAAAACAAAGAATGGGCACACACAAATATTATTATTTGACACATTGGCGGTTGTTATTATCAACATGCTTGTGCCTATTGAAATTGTTTGAGTTTAAGTTCATTTTCAATCCATCCAATCCAAATTTCGATTTTTATATGTCCACACCTATCTATGGATTACTTGAGAAACGTGACTTTTGGAACATATCAAATCAAATTATCAGCATCTCATGTCCAAGACAGAATACTTAGAGATGATTATGAGTCGTTTGAAATTGATCTCAGAGTGAATGAACCTGGATTCATTAGACTTAGAGTGTATTCTCGATTCAGGAGATAAAGATATCAAGTTCTTATTCAATACACTCCGCATGAAAACTAGTCTGACGAGAATAATGAAGAAGATGTATTGATAATAGGATACTACTGCAGTTGCAAATCAGGGGCAAGGACACTAGGAACATGTGCTCATATTTGTAGCATATTGTGGTATTTAGGATTTGCACGCCATAATCAAAATGTGAATTATTCATCGACTTCTGTGTTACAGCATATTGAAGATGCCGCAAATCGTCCAGTGCAAGATGCAATACTCCAGCAGCTGTAAGTGTTCGGGAATTATGTTGATAGTGAGTGCTCGACTTTTTTGTTCACTACCCTGTAAATATCGGTTTCAACTTGGTTAGTAATGAATTAGATGAAGTTTTAATTAGATAGCAGAGTTATATTTATATTATAGAGTTAGATATTGAAAAAGTTAATGACCGATTTCAACAATCGAAACGTGTTCTAATCTTTTCCTGTTACTATCGTTCCTAAAAAGCCACGAGATATGTCCTAAATGAAGATCAAATGTTAGGCCGACCATCTTGAATATTAAGATGGTGACCACTTTTATTAGGTACATAAACAAATCTTCATTCATCTCTCAAACGACCACTGAAATAGGACAAGAAATAAGGAAATAATAACAAAATCAATTCGATTCGGCACTTTGGCAAAAACAGTTTTACTAAATACGGTCCTGTAGGACAAGGCATGTTTTACAGAGGACTTGTGCTAGTTGACAAATGCCAAGATTTCACAACATTTCTCATTCAATTGAATTATAATGGGAGATACAAAAAGCATGGGCTTGAAAAAAAAAGTGTCATTGTTTCTTTGGCACCTATACTGAATACGACCCTGGGAGCTAAATCTTTGGTCTCAGAGGACTGGTCACATGGAAACATTCGATCAGAAACTCCATATCAATAACATATGTGAATTTCAGGCAAATCCCACTGTGGGCCAATTCCCTATGGTTTTGTGCGGGGTCCTTTCTGTCAATAAGTCGACATAGGCCACTCCAGTTAATTTCCCTTCAATAAATTTGACACCAATAACCTGGTTTCCAATAATCCCACACCACATATTGAGACTATAACGAATTTGAGGTATAGTTTGCTGCGTCAAATGAAGATTTTCCGTTGCATAAAACTATTTGTGAATGATGTTTCATCTGTCCATAAAATTGTGTTCTGAAACAATAATTGGTCGTTTAACATTTCTTGGTAACAATTGCAAAATGTGAGCCTATTCTCGGAATCTCCAGGGTGAAGTTTTTGAACGATTTTATACTTGACATCATGTTACTTGTTTTTTTTTTAGAATTTTCTGAACCCACATTGTGCTTATTCCACATTCACTACTAATTGATATTGGAGAAAGTTCAGGATTGATATTCATTTGTGCCAACACATTGATTTCATTATGTGTATTTCTAACATGGTATTTGCCTTGCTTTTTGAAAACATCCAAATTCTGTCAAATTCAAATACTGTCTGAAGGCGAATTTCGAGGCGAATTTCATCTGGATATAATCTAGCATATTCTCAAACTGCATTATCAACTCTAATGCACCATTTCACAATTTTCAAATTAATATTACTAAAAAAATCACTTCAAATGATTCCAAGTACATTTATGTCAAAAAACTATCAATACTGTAGTCATAGCGATAGAAATATTCTGTTTTCTTATTATCATGGCCCACCACATTTCAAAATGTATGGCAGTTCAATTTTGAGGAGTAACAACTAGCAAAAAATGGTATTTACTGTTTTTTGACGTTGTTTCATGTGATCATGAAGATATATTATACTTGTCTGTGAGGGAAATTTTTAGCCCTATTGAATGGTATAAAAAACAAATATGGCACCCATAAGAAGAACAGAAGTTGCATAGTATATCTCTGAAACTGATGAAGATAGATTATTTCTGATGATTTCTACTTCTTTGTCTTGATTGAATACCTAATCATACAAATTTTATTTTTTTTTATATCAAATATTAACTGAGCAAATGAGTGAAAACAAAATCAGCGATTTTCAGTAATGTCCGAATATTTCAGGAACTGATGAATTTTTTCCAATTTGCAAAACGGCATATTGAAGAGGTTCAAATTACGCAACTTTTGTCTAATTTAATCAACTTTCTATTTCTCATTTATTTATCTATTAAATCGTCCAGACCCTGTAAAGCAACCTTCATTCCTTCTGAAAGTAATACGCGCTAGTGATTGTTTTCGCCTGTACTTTTGGAATACCCTGTTCGAACTCACACATGAACACTATGTCTGAATTCAGAGAAAGAGTCTAAATTCAGAGAAAAATGTCTGAAATCATTGAAAAAAATTGGAATTCAGACAAAAAAGTCTGTAAAAGCCTGTATTCAGACAAGAAAGTCCGAATTCAGAGAAAAAACTTGGATATCAAAGTCAAAGTCTGAATGGGCGAGTGGACTATTTTTTTTTATTTCTCAAATAGAATCATCACTCAAATACCTTTCAATTTTATATTCTTGTAGAATTTTTCATATAACCTCCAGAAATTCAAGAAGAATGCCAATCACTACCTTATTTCCCTTGGTTCTCACGATGTTCTCTGAACATTACAGGATATCCCTTTTCGTGGGAACCAGAAAATAACTAAAAGTAGTATTTCTCCTAATTTTTCAATTGAGGCTTGTAGAAGTGTGTTGGAAGAATTATTTCATTAGGGAAGTAAATTTTCCGTGATTGTCCTATGAATACGATGGCCAGTCACGATTATTAATCAGCTCCAAGGATCATTGGTGGTTAGGCGTGGCTGCTTTCACACTTATGATGGTTGATGAATCCGAGTATCAATACTTTTCTACTACACTGTTTTACCACTAATCAAACCGATTTTATAAATGCCTGGACATGTGTTTCGCTAAATATGTTAGCATCTTCAAGAGAAGATTAAAACTTGATTGGGATTGTTCTAGAAGAAGAATTCCAATCTTCTAGAAGAATCCTAATCCCGTTCAATCCCAAGTATAGGAAGGGACTTGATAAGGTTTTCAAATACTTAGGTTTTGAAAGCGTTTATCATTCTGGGTCAAAGTTAGGCAATTTATTATGCAATCCGAAAGATAAAATGGAGTCACTTGAAAAGTCGGGAATATACGAAAAAAGTTTTAATGATTGTGATAATACATATATAGGCCAAACCAGGCGACCCATAAAAACAAGGTTCAAAGAACACATTCAAAATATGGTAGATCAGATAAATCACGTTTAGCCAAACATATGTTCAATCACAATCATAACACACATATTACTAACGTCAAATTAGTTAAGCAAGTTGATAATATTGAAAAATTAGATGCATATGAAAGCTTAGAAAATAGTGATAGAGCAATGAATAAGGATAATGGACCTATTCCATATTGCCCTCTATATAGTTCAGTAATATAAAATTAAGATTAACTTGTGAATTCAAATAGATTTCAGATTGAAATTTGACGAACATGTTAAAATTTTGAACAAAAAATTGTCTTCTGGATGTTATGCGGTGAGACTAACATCAAATGAATTAGGATTTCCTTCTTCTAAGGTTGTTTACCACTCCTTAGTTGAATCTCATTTAAGGTATGGAATTCCATTCTGGGCGGTGTGTAATGATCATCTCATAAACTCAGTTTTTATATTGCAAAAACGCGCAGTAAGATATATGTGCAAAGCAAAAATTCGTGACCCCTGCAAACCCCTTTTTATTAAACACAAAATTTTAACAGTTTATGCGATCTTTATCATGGAAACGGTGTGCTTAATTAAAAAACATCTAGGAAAATTTGACACTAACTCTGCACACCATACCACCCGACAGGCAGGTAACATTAAATTACCAATTCCATCATCGGCTCTAGTTGAAGATTCAATAATTTATGTAGGCTGTAAGATGTTCAATCATTTGCCAAAAGACACCAAGGAAGTTGGATCCAATAAAAAATTCAAACATAGAATAAAATCACTCTTTTCGGATAAACCCTATTATAGTTTACAAGAGTTTTTTGATGATACATTTTAACCATAAAACCATTTTTATTAGGAATATTTTAATATGTTGTAATGTGTCCCTTATGAACTAGCTGAGTGTTCAAATAGATTTTAAAATGTTGTGTTGTTATAGTAGCGATTTCCTCTTGTTCTAGTCTTGATATTTATTTCAAGGTTATTTTTTTTACTTACTTTGTCAATGAGATTTTACATCTTTAGACAATAAAGCATATTCTCTCTCTCTCTCTCTCTCTTTCTCTCTCTCTCTCTCTCAACCATGACAAACATTAACTTGACGGTTAGTATTTTTTACGGTTGGGTGAACATATACCTAGTATATAAGCAGCACACTAGAATAGGATATTTAGTTTAATTTTCTCCTGAAGATGCTAACATAGTTAGCGAGGTGTTGAAAAAATCGGTTTGGTTAGTGGTAAAACAGTGTAGTGTATTATCGTGCCAAAGGTTCCAGTCCTCGATAAATCAATAATTTTGTAATTTTACAGATTGGTGCCTCCTTTCACCTCACCAACGTCCAAGTCTACGTTGTGGATTTGAAAAAGTGCAAGCCTCTTGGTACATTTGTGTTAGATTCCGGCGCCAACCCATTTACGCCCAATCAAAGTATTAGGAAAAGTTTCTCCAAAGCAGACCGGCCTCTTAGCTTAAACAGTCGTATGCTAGACGTGAAGACTATTGAAGAAAGCACCTCTGGTACAGACCCTGAAGAGGAGTCAACCGCCGATATAACCAACATCAAAGATTACAAAGAAATTTTCAGGGGAAAAGGGCGTAAGTATATTTTATTATCTTGTTTTCAATGTGGTATGATTATACTCATCAGCAAGTTTCAATTTGACAGTGAAATTAGTTGACTTCGGCTTAGTGGACTGATAGAGAAACAATTTACTCTCACAAAACACAATGTAGACCTTGACCTACTTGACTTGGTCATAATTCAATATTCACATTGATACAAAATTGAACTGGAAAGATCAAATCGATTACACAGCCATGAAATTGAATAAAGTAGTATACCAAATTAGAAAACTAATGGAATTCACCACTGTGGATACTGCACTTACATATTATTATAGTAACTTCAATGCCGTTTTTTCTTATGGACTTATATTTTGGGAAAACTCCGTGGGCAGTGACAGAATTTTCAAACTAAAAAAAAGTCGTGAGAGTATTGGGAAACACTGGTTACCGGGATCATTGCAAACCGTTATTCAAAAAGTTGAATATTCTAACTTTACCTTCGGCTTTCATCTTACAATGTGTCATATCTGTAAAGGAACATGAGAACTCTTTATCTTCTAATTCTTCCCAGCATGATTAAGATACTCGGAACAAAATATCCTTGAGTATACCCTACCGCCGGCTTCAAAAAACGCAACAGCCAATTAATGATACATCTCTCAAGCTTTTTAACAAATTGCTGATTGTACTGAAGAATGCTCTGATCAGAAAATTCAAAGCAGCAATTTTGATCATTTTACTGAACAATGCCTTCTATTCACATGATGAATTTCTTGACTTCTCTTTTTACAAGATACCACTGTGATTTTTATTTATTTTTTTTTTAATTGTCAAGTCTTATACAGGGTAATGCAAATTTCATGGTACACTATTGTTAACTCGGAAACGGAGAGAGATGCGAACTACGTTAAATTACGAAAAAAATGCACAATTTCATGACCATTTCAAATATCAAAAGAAATCGAGGACATCCCTCTTATTTCCTGAAATATCCTGAAAAAACTGAAAATAGTCGATTTTTATTATAATCAATAACTTTTGAACTGTTTTTACTAGAGTTTTGAAATTTGGTACACTTACTGAAGGTCGCATGGCGAATTCAACGGTGATATGAAAAAAATTCTAGGCACACTAGATTCGAAGATATTGAAGCAAATTTTGATTTTTCTAATGGTCGCCATATTGGATTTTTGCACCATCCGATAGATCAAAAAATTACCAATTCATCGATGTATCACACTTCCATGTTTGATGATGGAATGACGAAAATACAGGAAAAATAGAAAATTAATAATTAAGTTAATGTATAAGATCTGCTATCAAGCTTACAATTTCAGAAATTTTCATTAAACGTAAAAATAATAATATTGAACTCAATTTCTGAGGTGCTCGAAGTGACCCCCTCCATTTTCAAGACAAAGTGCAGCTCGACTGCAAATGTCATTTGCTGCTCTCCGTATGGTTGCTTCCGGTATTGAATTAATTGTTTGTACAATTTGTTCTCGCAAATCTGCAGCGTCTCCTATTGTTCTGGCATAAACTGTATTTTTCAAATATCCCCATAGGTAATAGTCTAACGGATTTAGATCCGGAGATGTAGCGGGTCAGCGTACTGGACCGTTAGTGCCAATCCACTTCCGTGGAAACATTTGATGCAATGTCTGGGTAACCAATGCTGCATTGTGAGCAGGAGCACCGTCTTGCTGAAACCACATTTGGTGGATCTGATTAATGGGAAATCCATCCAATGAGGGTTCAACACTATCTCTCAACAGGTTCCTATAGTTTTCTCCGTTCAGGCGATCTTCAAGAAAAAATGGACCCAGAATTCGACCATTGAAGATGCCACACCAGACATTAACCGAGAATCTTATTTGATGACGTGATTCTTTCTTGAGCTTTGGATTCTCTGTGGACCAATAATGCTCATTGTGACGATTGAAAAGGCCATTATTTGTAAAAAGGCATCTGACCACAGCACTTTCAATGGAAAATTTACATCATTGTTCACCCTATTCTGTAACCATTCACAAAAAAAGGATCGCCTGGCAAAATCTTCTCGACTGATTCCTTGTACTACATGATAATGATAAGGGTGGAATTTTTGCTTTTTGAGTATTCTACTAGCTGTAGATTGATGGACATTACACTGCCTTGCAATAGCATAAGTTGATATGTTTGGATTAATGTGCACTTGTGCTAGGATATTTATAACGTTAAGATTCAACCCTCTTCTCATTCCATACCTAGGTGAATCAGAAAGTTATTTATGGAAGAATACAAAAATGTTAATACATATCTCACCTTGAACGCCTTGTTGCAAAAGTTCCATCTAGTCTGATCTTCTGTGCAATCCTTTGGAAATAATTTCGCGAAGGCTGAATCCGTTCAGGGTATAAATTTTCATACATTTCACTAGCTCGCGTCGAATTTCGAAAGCAGCGAATGTGAACATCATACATATCACTCCTTTCTTCAATGCTGTAAACATTCACCATCTCAATTTGGTTTCAGTAGAGATGTGAACAATTATAATTTTCAAATTCTCAGAATGACAGATGAATTTTTAATGTTCTAATATCCAGAACTGAAAACTGGACATTGTGACAGCCGCCTCCTTGACATTGATGAACTGGCTGGCACGTGTCGAATCCCGTAAACAGCGATGTACAGGATGTTTCTTAAGTATGTGTAGAAAATTCAGGAGCAGATTGTGATACAAAGCTCAAGAAAGAATCATGCCATCAAAATATTATCGGTTAATAGGTGATACGGCATCTCCAATAAACGAATTATGGGTCCATTTCTTCTTAAAGATTGCCTGGACAGAGAAAACTATGAGTTTCTTTTCAACCGAAATCACCAAATGTGGTTTTAACAAGATGGCGCTCCTGCCCACAATGCTGCATTTGGCTTCCCAGATGTTGCGTCAAATGTTGAATAAAGATGGATTGGTCCAGACGGTCCTAAGCGCTGGCTTGGCCTGCTAGATCTCCGGACCTGAATCCATTGAACTAGATCCTATGAAGATATTTGAAAAATACAGCTTATTGCAGAACAATCAGAGACGCTGCAGATTTACGAGAACAAATCGTATAAACAATCGATTCAGTACAAGAGGCAACCATACGGAGAGCAACAAATTACATTATTTGCAGTCGAGTATCACGTCGAGTACCTCAGATATTGAGTTTCATATTATTTTCTTGACTTTCAGTGAAAATATCTGGAATAGTAAGCCTAATAGCAGATCTTATAGGTTAACTTGATTATTAATTTTCTATTTTTCCTGTATTTTCGTCATTCCATCATCAAACATGGAAGTGTGATACATCGATGAATTGGTAATTTTTTGATCTATCGGATGGTGCAAAAATCCAATATGGCGACCATTAGAAAAATCAAAATTTGCTTCAATATCTTCGAATCTAGTGTGCCTAGAATTTTTTTCATATCACCGTTGAATTCGCCATGCGACCTTCAGTAAGTGTACCAAATTTCAAAACTCTAGTAAAAACAGTTCAAAAGTTATTGATTATAATAAAAATCGACTATTTTCAATTTTTTCAGGATATTTCAGGAAATAAGAGGGATGTCCTCGATTCCTTTTGATATTTGAAATGGTCATGAAATTGTGCATTTTTTTCGTAATTTAACGTAGTTCGCATCTCTCTCCGTTTCCGAGTTAACAATAGTGTACCATGAAATTTGCATTACCCTGTATTGTACTTTTTGAAAACGTTTCATATACACATATATGTATCTCATTATTATTTTAAATTGTGATCATTCCATATTTTCTGTACATGACAACTTGAAATATATTCTAAACATAACTGGGGCTAATAAATTATTATTACATTATTATTATTACATTATTATTATTATTAATACTATAGTAAGTTTAGCGAAATAAAGATTAGATGGCGCCACACTCTAAGTGATCCTTCTTGGTCATATTCATTCACATAAACAGATTTATTCAAAATTGTGATCCACAAAAGCCGAAATGGAGCTGTCAACTATCTGTCACTGTCATATATAGAAACCCGAGTAGTAATCAGAATTTATTTTACTGTTAGACAATCGTACTTTCAAGAATTTACAGAATCATTCAATTCAGGTCAGTGAATCCATCTTGTTGGAGAATCTACAGTTGCCTAAATTCTGTTTGTATATCAAAGTATATCAATATCATTGATTTACAGTAAAGTTGTATTACAAAAGCGTCATTCTATTTGCGTAAAACGAACTATCGGGATTGATTGTTTTGCCATTGATGTTGACAGTAAAGTTCTCATAGGTTCTCAAAAACACAAAGCATTGGCTGATCTAATTTTACACAATTAGAACTAGGATGATGTAAACCTCTCTTTTTAATACTTTTTTATTGAATACCACTGTATATTGGTTTAATATTGGGATACAAGTTGTCCACATATTATATAGATAAAAAATATAGAGTTGAAAAGTGTCTGTAAGGTAATCAAGGAATGGTTTCACTGCCGAAATCTTATCCTAGAGTACCTTGATTGATTGTTCAAATAGAGTACAGACACATGACATGCAGTGAGAGTTGCACAAAACTACAAATATTGTTGAAATAGATCTATGTTTTCCAAACACAAACATGTGTATTGCTTAGTTAAATGCTTTCCATATCTTCCTTTCCCTACAGGTTGAGGTAAGTGTATATCTTTCTTGGTCTTCCATTTCCGAATGACGTTTCATCAAATATGAAGAAGGTTTATGGTTATACAGTTTGACACACTAAGGATGAAGACACCCCTGTATTTAATTCATTTTTGAAAGCTGGGATTTGATTTTTGGTACAGACGTAGACCTCCATGAACTGCACTTTTCGCTGACAGCGATCCCGCGAGGGCAAGTTCTCGATATTTTGTTACGCGATGGAAATACCGAAAAAAGTCATTTGGAAAAGTTGCTTGGAAATCGATTTAATTTGAAAAAAATTTCACTTTCGACATGTATCGAAAGTTACGTGACCCCGACCCAGTAGTCTCTTTTTC